CCCTGAGCCTCATTTCGACGCCGAGCTCTGACCCGACTAACCCATATCCTGGCTCTGGACCGGCGAGAGGGCCATCCCTGACACCATCAGCCCAACAATAGCATCTCTCCGGCTCCGGCGGCGGCGGCAGCTGGTTGACCCAAGTCCGTTAGACCCGCACGACGGCCCACAGAGGCCAGAGCGCCGGCCGCGCACGAGCACACGCGCCGATAACGGTTCGCTGCTTGGACAGAAGCTGGGGCCATGGCTGACTGGCCGTAGCGCCAGCCGAGTCGAGAGTCAATAATCATGAGCCAAGAATCAAGAGTCTCAGGAGTCGAGAGTCTGAGAGTCGAGAGAAAACTGAATTCGAGCGTCGATAGTAGAGCTCCTTGAAACGCACATCCTTGTCTGCTGCTCCAAGGATGTTGGCCCTGAGCCGCTATCAAGGACTACCTCTGACGGGTTAAAGAGGTTCGGATACGGATGTGACAACTGACAAGCAGGACTAACTTATGAATTGACATCTACCATCAGCGCTCGCGACGAGGTTTTGTAAAGACATATAAAACGGCTCTGCGAATCTCGTGAATATCATAGGTATGTGTTGTGCCGTATGCCTTACACCCGCAGCAAAAACAAAAATTATTTAAGACATTCGCTTCTTAAATGCAAATTTACATGCAGGCTTCACCTCCATAGCGTCTTGGCCAATCTGTGCTTTACCCAGTAAACGAACAGCTAATCCAAACCAGTCGCAATCTGACACAATGCCACTGGATTATTAGTTACATAACTGGATGAACGTCCAAAATACTTTTGATCCGTGACAACATTTTCGAAGAGCTACTTAAACTTCACCTTTTCATGGTCATTTAGTGCTTTTGCAATGGGCAAGGTGACATCTCAGCATACGAGTATTGCATGTGGCGACAAGTGTCAGCAAGGCCACCATTCAGCATTACTCGTAGCTGGCCTATTTCCACCTTTACTTATGTACATAATTTAATAGCTTGTCAATTTCAACTCCCGTGTGAACCCACAGAGGTGAGCTGGGATGAGTGAACATATTAGCACGCACGCCGCCCACTTATCAACGCGATGACGTTTGACAGCCGTCACCACGCTGACGTCCTGACGTGCGTGCTACATTATAGAACGCCGGCACGTGGTTGACTTGCTTCCTGGGTGCGCTGATTTACCTGTGAGGCTGTGACTGGGCCGTTGACTACGGCATCAATCACAGTGAGACCAGCATGACCAGAAAGCATTTTGCGGCCATTTCATGCCAAGGTGTAGCTCTCATGGTCCATGGTTCTTGGTCCGTGGTCCAAAGACTCCAATACCTATGGTAGTCCGTGATCTGTACTCTGTAGGTCCGTAGTCCATGGTTTCTTGACTCCGTCCGTAGTCCATGGTCCGTGCATTACCTGTTTTCTCATCCAGGCCACCCCGGTCGCCGCCGGGCCGAGCCGGGCCGGTCTGCCCGCCCGATGACCGATCGTCGCGAGCCCAGCGAGTAGCACACGGAGGTACCGTCACGCACGTCACAGCCGTCACGGCCGTCACCGGAGACGGAGTGGGCGTCTCGTGTAACGGGCCCGTCACGCCGCGGCTCGGACCGTGACGCCGCCTCCCGCATGCCGACCTCCTCTCTAGGCCGGCGCATAACGCAGAGTTACGCAGCGTAACGCTGCGTAACGCAGCCGTAACGCACCTAAACGTAACATCAGTGCAGCGAAGACCTCGGGTGCAAGGAACGAGGCGCATAGAAGCGGGATATCGCAGTATGAACGTCACAGTTCCATGTAACAAAGCGTCACACGTGCAGTGACGCATGCCGTGACGACGGTTTTGTAGAGGAGAGTCGTTCTGCCATCCTTAGCTCGGCGGCCTGGTTCTCTAGAGCGCTCATTGTGCTATCCTTAGCCTGCAGCGTGCAGGGGTGCTGATTGCAGTGAGGGTCGCTGACAGCTGTATAGGCCGACGAGGGTCGGCGCGGTACCCTGACATTGCACCATCATGGCAGGGGGCGTGACGCGAGATATCCCGATTTCCATAGCCGACATTCATGTCATCAATGTTGAATTCCTGTTTCACTTTGCGATAAGTTCGCTTCTTATGGAATCGCCGTCTCAGGATAGAGCATATCTTGGGCAATGACAATATCCTATAAAAGCTCGCATTGTTGCGAAAAAAGTGAAATATTGCACACAACGGCCACTTAGATTGAGTGTTCGATCACGAACTTTGCATTTGATATGCGAACTTGCGGCTCACCTCCTGCCACAATTACATAACTCACCGTCTGCAAGTTCTGCACTCCCATCCTGAGTACCTACATGACGCTCTTCATACCTACGTAACGGAGCGGCGGGTAGGGAAAGGTCACCTTGTGACGTCACAGTCGTGTGAAGGTCACTGCTGTGCATATGGCACCGTCCCGGGTCGAAGTGTCGCACTGTCTGACACTGCAGAGCGGTTATTGGTCGTCAGCCTTTGACCTATGCCCTTTTGTTATGTATATGGTACATCCTATTTGTCTGTGGTTTCTGTGTCGACTGAACAATAGCCCGTCCACACAGCTGGGAAGGGAGGTTCACTGAGCGAGCCCCGTCCCCCACACCTGAGACTAGAAGGGCAGCGTGGCCCCACTAAGCGACCCCGTTCCCCATATGAGGAGCCCGTAGTAAGTCCTCTGGACGATCCCGCCCCCACACCTGACACTGGTAGGGTAACTTGGTTCCGCTTAACTATTATCCGTCCCCACACCTTGGGAGGGTGCCCTAAGGAATAACTCCGCCCGCACATCTGTGATCCGAAGGCCCCACTGATCGCTCTCCCGTCCCCGCACCTGACTGATGAGGCAATGTTTGCTCCGAGATGACCGGTGCATGGGACGAGCCGTCCCGACCGCTCGGCTACTTTCTAACCGGCGCCGCGCCAGGCGCAGGCAACTGTCCAGACCAGTGAGGTAATGCTGAGATGGTAAAGGTGACGATGACGATGACGGCGACGGAGACGGGGACGGAGACGGAGACGGAGACGGAGACGGATATGGAGACGGATATGGAGACGGGGCGGAGACGAACACGGAGACGGGAGCTGAGGCGAGGAAGGAGACGGAGACGGATATGGAGACTGAGACGGAGACTGAGACGGAGACGGAGACGGAGACGGAGACGGAGACGGAGACGGAGACGGAGACGGAGACGGAGACGGATATGGAGACGGAGACGGAGACGGATATGGAGACGGATATGGAGACGGAGACTGGGCGGAGCAGGGCTGGAGTAGAGACAGAAACGGAACAAGATAGTGAGACGGTGATTGATAGGCTTTTAAAACAAGAGTTCATACAGCAAAAATGCAGCAACAGCCACTGTGATCCAAAGATTCATTTGGGTGACTTTGAAAACAAATTTATTATTTAATAATGAACGGTGCGGATAACCGCCTACCTATAAAGCATCCTGGAACGCAAATCGGCTTACTAAGTACCTTAGCGACTATTCTGACTGCGAAGACAGTTACGACACAAGAGAAAACGCGATATGTCCGTTTCAAAAATGATTAATGGTTTCGGATCAATAACATCGGATCTGTCATTTGTCGATGAAAGTGATTGATCCCATCTTCATGGTCTTACAGGTCTGCAGCCTGTGTTATCATTAAGCATCGCTACTATGAGCTTTTCTTCCATGAAGTGGAGTTATCACCCATCATATGATTTCCTTGTTGTCACAATAGATAGAACAGCAAGACGACACGAGTATCGGGGAGAAATTGAACGTTACAGGAAAAACGTACAATTTCATAACAGTCTGTGAATGTATTCAAATGTCGTTTACTAACGACGCTGTCCTATCTCCCACCCCGGTATGAGTTCATGAGTGTTCAGCATTGTGAAACCGAATGATCAGAGACCGCCGTGGTGTTGCTGATCTTTCGGCAGGGAGGGGGTCATAAACAATATATGTAAACATATTACTCATATGACACTGAGTCTTTTCCAGTGCAAATCAGGAACCATATACCTAATGTTGCATCCATAGTCTGTTGGCTTGAACTGTCGGTAATAATAGCTCTTACTATGTTACGTAGGTAGGTGATACCTGACCACCACTTTACTGATCATGCTGCCTCAGTAATTCAAAATTAAAGCGCTTCTAATCAAAGCCTTTATCTGTCACCATGCCGTCCCGTTTTCGATAACATGGCACATAAAAATAATGCAAATGTCTCTGCAAACAGTCCAGTCAAAGATTCCTAACCATATACATAAGTTCCATCCTTTTAGCACCGTTTGGGCCGCGCTGCCATAGAGCGGTAGGTTCTCCGTGGACCATTGGTATATGGGTCACTGAACTGTTTTGGTCCCTGTTCTGCGTGGAACTAATGAGCTCCTTTTGGAGCATCCTGAGCCGCACCGCCGTGCTTCTGGCCCTGATGTTCCGCCTTAAATCCTGCCCCAGTCCGTGAGCTGGCCTCAAACTCAGCGGACCATTGCCCAAGGCATGCCGCGCGTCTGGAATCCAGCATTTGGTGCCTACACAACTCACGGCAATTTAGTCATTTCTCATGTGGCAGGAGCAAACAGAGCATACGAGTGGTTGTGATTGACTGTCTGTGGGTTTGGGGTTATTGTCCGCACGACTCATCGTCATTCCTTTGGGAAATTATGGCTATCATTGGCTCTATGGAAGACGTTGAGCCGACTTTCTTGTTTGCCCCGGAAGCAAACAATGAAAATGCAATATTTGTGTGCATGAACGCGGTATAAGTAGGCGAACCGATAAATCACTTTCTTAGGATTTGCAGTGGTGAAAAAATATACGAGCATCATCTTGCTAGAATCAATGTCTGAATTGAAGATCTAGACGGGGTGTAATAGTTCTCGTACGAATCTGACCTTTATCACTTCAGACATTCAAGAACATCACCATGTCGGTACGTCATGAATACCACCCAATCTCTATTCTCCTGCACCTGTCTGACAGATGTAACTTTTGTCTTTACAGGTTATGCCACCGCTCAGAGCTACTACGGAAAGCGTCTGGGTTCGATCAAGACCCTGGAACATGGTGTGAGCGGTGATGTGTACGCCGTCGACTCGCGTACCCTGCACCTGAGGAACCTCAACTATGACGGCCAGGGACCAGGTGAGGGCGGGATCACTTGGGTTGAGAAAAGGAGTTATTGAGGGTGAGGGCAGGGGTGATTCATAAAGGGGTATATGCGGGTTACGACTATGAAAATTGAAAAGGGATTGGCAGTATGGATATGGAAGGAAGAAACGGGCCATTCAAACTTAGATAGGGCCCACGTGTTAAAAGTTCCTGAAAAAGAAAATTCAACCGGGCTGAAATGCTAAGGAAACGGGGACCTAGCTATCCATTGAAGAAAGTTGGATTTAACATCAGCGGAAGCCTTCAAACGAGCGAAAATCGCATTGCTTTAGGACGATGCAGGCAAAAGGTCGAATATCAGATCAACACTATATGGAGCACTTGACCGGAACCGGGGACATAGCGATGACCATCGCTATTACACCGCATCTTATTGCACCTCGGCTCGCACCGCGCCCTCAAGCGAAGGTGAGGCCTTGCGAGCCTCCCTCTGAGGTCATGCATGCGGAGAGGCGCGGCCGGCCTCTGTTGATCATCTCGGCGACCATCGCGGGGCCGCCGGCCCCGCTCCTGGGAACCCGGAAGATGCCGTCATGCTCGGTAGCCGCGCCGCTGAGGCTGCGGTGGCGACTACAGTCGTGTAGACTGCTCGTTCGCGGCTCCACACGGAGCAGTTGAGCTCGAGACCCCTGCCGGGTTCACTGGAAGCGGTGGGGCAGCCAGCGAGCCGACGGGAGATGCAGTGGCCACGTCAGCGAGGCATGACAGTAGAGAAGAAAGTGATTTCAGCGCGGCTTGCGCCACGGCGGGCAGTCCCCTGCACTGAGAGGGCATGACTCGGCAGGTGTTAGGGCTTCGCTGATGGGTAAGCAGGATCGCTGAGCTGACGGCTAATCAGAAGACATTATGCAGAGAGGGTTGTAACTCTGGAACTGCCGAGCGAGGTGCCGATTAGTCTAGATGTGGTGGCTGCGAAGCTGTTGACACAAGCACCGACAGAAGCATTTGTCATCATTAGGCCTCACGTCTTCTGTTCAAACAATTCCATTACGGTAAAAGGAAATTGAACGTTGCTCTTTCCGCCCTATACCATTTACTACCTCCAAGCACCTTCGACAACAGCGGACGGCCTTGCAGCCGTTGACGCTTCGTGTGGGCAGACAGCATGAGCTCGAGCTGGCGCAGCTGGCACCTGAGCTGGCGCAGCTGGCGTTCAGTGGGTCAGCAGAGGCGCGCCGAGCCGCCGCTGGCTCCGCTGACACGCTGGCCGACCGCCAGCCAGCGCTGGTCGGTAGCTCTGTTCACTGTATACCGTTACGGGTACGATGACGGCCGGCTGGTGCCTTCCCACGCGTGGCTAGGACGCGGACGGCTCTGGACTCGGCCGATCAGCTGCTGTGTAGACTGTTTTGACGTTTCATGGGGTTAGTCAGCGTGAGCGCTCTTTGGTCACGGTTCATGTTAACCCTTTTCTTGTAGCTTGCAGGCTACTGAATTACGTTTGTGATATGAATATCATGTTAGTCTAGGCATTTTCATATTAATACAGAGTAGTATGGGAATGAAAAAGGCTGATTAGAGCGTACAATTGCCATCTAGTCGTTTTAACGGTATGCTGTGTTTTTAGGCATTCATGTAGGTAATGCATTTGGTTTCGATACGATAATCGATGGAGCCCGCTTCATACCGGAAGACCAATACCTTGATCTTTTTGTGCTGTCATTATTCGATAGCATTGACATCACCAAAGTGACATTGACATTAGAGACTGAGTGCTGACCTAGCGGTACTTTTTCAGATGCATTCTTCTACCTCGGTAGCGGAAACAGGCCAACGGGCCAAGGCTACCAAATTCCGGATGAAAACGGAAGGTAAGCTCTTTTGCTGTCAACCACCACGTTTTCCGAGAATAATGAACAAGATGTAGCGATAATGCACGACTTCATCTTCACAACATCTGCAGTGACAAGTGGTGTCTGAAACGTTATATAATTATGCATTTTTGCATGTTCACCTCAAATAAAACTTCAGGGCTGCAGCTGAGCTCCCGAATCTTCCCTGTACGAAGACTTGTGTGGCAGGAATGCTAACATGAAAATGATATTGAGCACTTTTTACCTTTTAGTTCCCTTTCTGGCTAAGCTACACATAAAAGCCGCTTCCACTCGCAATTCCCAGTTCCCACACTCATCCTATACCCGCACTCCCTAACTCCGTCGGCTTGGCAAAAAGCCTTTCTCTGTAGTCTGTTGGTGTGCGACCAACCGCACCAGACCACACCCTCCACGCCCAGACCCCGCCAAGGTCCTCCCCTCCCTCTCCCCAGTCTGGCAGGCTCACGAAGGTCATGCGACATTTAATCGTCACACACGAGTTTCCGTGACTTTCGCCTTACGCGAGCAGGCCACACTGAACTCAACACTCACACGCTGCGGGCTTAGGGAGTGGTTCGTGTAATTCGAGACAATTCTCGGAACACACCCGGTAATTTGTGGCGGGATCTGAGCCTGGCCACACCAGCCGAAAACGGGGCATTCCAGAGCCTGCAGCGGGATGACTGAGCCACTGTGGCTTCGTGAATGAGGTGGATTGTTTCTCACGGGAACACTGGGAGCTGCGTCGGAAAGGAAAACTAAAGATGAATAACGCTTGCGATTAACTACGAATGCTAGGCCCTTCTGTTGGTTGTGTCCCTTCCGATATGTGTACAAATGTTGCACAATTTGTTTATTCAATTGCTAGCGATAGGAATACGAGGCTTCAAGTGGTGCTTCGAGTTTCGACTCATTCCTTCTCCGTTTTTTCAAATATAAGCATGACGCCTTCTTTTTGGATATCTTAAAATTAAAAAAAATATCTACCCACCATTATTCCTTCGCAAGCCTCTTGATCCCATCAAGCCCGATCTGACCCCTGACCCCCCCCCCTTTCCGCCCCCAACAGTATGGAGCCGCTGGGAGCGTACCGTAACCAGGCCATCACCCTGACTCTGCCCAGCGGTGTCACCCTGGACGACATCCAGTGGATCTCCATCTGGTGCCGCGCCTTTTCGGTAAGTGGGCGATGACGATGAGATCGTGCATGTTGTCTTTGAGCTACTTCCTTGATCGTAATAGTTACAATACAATGGTACGGCAGCCTGTTTTCGAAGTTTAATTGTGTCCCTCGCGCATTTCGATTACTATACCTTAGCACTAGTGTGTATACTATCCTTTTATTTCTTCTGTCCATGGTGACGGTGTGGGCCTAATAAGTTTACAGTAAGTTTCTCGTGTCAAAGTCCTCGTCCAAATTTCCCGTGCGTCAAAAACCGTGACGAGCGGGTTACGTTTCATGCGTGGGCCGCTCGTGCCCCTCGCTGGCTCTGAGGTCAGGTAGCTCGTGCAGGGCGGCTCTGGTCAGACCTGGGCGGCCTCTGGACCCCGGCCTGACCTCCCGGTGCGCACAGTGCGCACAGCTCCGAAGTCACGCCGTCGGAAACTCGACGTGACAGCGTGAGGGGGCGCCGGGAGGAGGGGGACAGGGGGCTGTCACAAACCCCTGCACGTGTCCGGTCAGCCGAGTCAATGGTGCGAACAGGACACAGACCGCGGCTAATGCGACACGACATGACGTGTAACCTTCGTTGGAGGGGTCACGGCGTCAGTGGTGCACGGTGTCGGTGACCCTGCGAATAGGTGTGTTTCTAAAAAAAATATCTGATGAAAAAATATATATTACGGTCTATTACGGAATCTATTATATTACGGTCTAAGGCAACTGGCCACATTCAACCGGAATTGATTAGTGACGACGTGAGAGTTTTGTGGAACGAAACTATAAACGCCTGATGCCTGCTGTGCGTGAACTCTGGGTTGAACTAAGGTCCTAGCCCAAGCAGAAGTGTTTAAGTGTTTGCAGGTCCTCGCAGGTCACCAGGTCACAAAAACCGGTACAAAAAACCGGTGTTTGGGTGCACTGCGGCACTGAAATTGCACTATTTTCCCAGGACATCTTGAGTTGTGCTGTGTGCACCAATCTGATTCAAACTTGCAGGGCATGCTAAGCTATTAAAGGGACTATCCCACCTTTAACATGGGGTTTGAGTTGAGATAGCCAAGTTTGCGGCGAGGTTCAGAAACCACTATCTATCTAGGTTGCAACCCCCGCGGCCTCTTGGTGTTGAATAAATTCGTTCCCTTCATTTGAAAATGGGCCTTGTACAAGGCCCTATCTTCAACATGGAGCGACCGTTAGTGTGACGTCACCTCGTTTAGTCATTCTGATTTAAATGGGTTTGTTCGTTGAAAAATCGTTTAAAACTTGGTCTGAACTTTGTTGTGGTGCCTACAGAGTAAAAAGAATCAGCTTTATGACAGTAATGTGGCCTGGGGAAGGAGGTAATTTTGGGCTGTGACGTCACATATTTGAATGTTTGTGTTTGGAATATGGGAAGCCTAAGATGTTTAATAAAATATAAATGCCAGAACCGTGTTCCTGGTCATCCAATCTATAAAGTCGGGCACAATTTAACTGGTTTTAACAACATTTTAGAAGGTGGGATAGTCCCTTTAATAAGATAAGATGGATTATAAATAATAGATTGCTATCCCGTATTGTGTGACTGGAGGAGGCTGCTTCATCACGTGATACAACTCAATCCGCGAATGTCTCCCCGTCCCACTGATGTGACGTTCTAATTTATCATCTAGATAAGGCGTGCGATACAATATCCGTTACCTGTTTTATGCACACACGCGATTCATTTGTCAAACGTCACCCATGAAAAGGTCAGGGCCAGACACGCAATGTTTCCTTGCGTATAACTTTTTTTAAAAGTGCTTTATCATGGTAGGAAACGGCGTCCACATGGATAGATGCCAATACGGTACCCCCCTCCTCTCTCTCTCGCTCTCTCTCTCTCTCTCTCTCTCTCTCTCTCTCTCTCTCTCTCTCTCTCTCTCTCTCTCTCTCTCTCTTTCTCTCTCTCTCTCTCTCTCTCTCTCTCTCTCTCTCTCTCTCTCTCTCTCTCCTCTCTCTCTCTCTCTCTCTCTCTCTCTCTCTCACTCTTTCAACTCAAACCTCAGAAAACGGAGGGGATCCCCCATTAACTACCTACAGCGTCTCAGAAACCTCTGGCAGGAGGTGTCCTCGCTCAGAGGTCAAGCGTAATCCCTCGATTATGCATCACGGTGCTGTTAAACAGTTCTTGGAGCACGCAGGACTCCAGAATAATGATAGGACAATTCAAACTGGAGAGACCGTGGCAATGGTCCTAGTCGTCCGGGGTTTCCCCAATGTAATCTATCTACAGGGTGTCCCAAAAGTTTTGCAACATCGCTGTCGTCTGGTTTGAGACACGTTCTTTTGTATGTACTTTTGTATTCAGCAGCCGACATAATCACCGCGTCGTCGAACACACTTCTGGATGCGTGACGGCATGCTGGCGACCAAGCTACGCAGCGTGTCCGTCGAGATTTCTCTCCAGGCCTTCTTCAGGCGTCGCTCGAGCTGGCTGAGGCTTGTGGAGGGCTCCTGCTGGTTGAGGCTCTCCTTCAAAATCGCCCACAGATTTTCGATTGGGTTTAAGTCTGGCGAGTTTCCAGGCCATTCACCTTTGGCCCAAAACCCCGGTAGATGCTCGTCGCACCATTCCTGGCTTCGTTTGGCATTGTGCGCCGGCGCACCATCTTGCATAAAAATTGCCCGCGACATTGGGTCGATGAGTTTCCTCTCTGTAATGCCGCCAGTTTTGCTTGTACGCTCGACCGCTGGCAAAAGTGAGCCCTCCAGGATTTCTGTCACGTAGTACGCGGTGTTTACCGTCTGCTTTGGGGGCACCACGTGGAGCTCAGTAAGACCCTGCGCGGTCATTCCACCCCATACCATAAGCTTGGCGGGCTGTTTGACGGTTTCCACGCGTGGCACCTGATCGCCAGACCTCGCCCAGACTCGATCATTTTGCCGGTTTGGCTTCTGCTGGAGTTCGAATACAGACTCATCGGACCAGATGACATGCTTAAATTCTTCAAAACTCCATTTTTCTACTCTCTTACAAAACGCTAATCTTGCAAGTTTCTGTTTTTCGCTCAATTTTGGCTGTTTTTGCCTCTTGTATGACCTAAATTGCTTTGTTTGCGTCATGAACCGGTGTACACTTGACTTGGACATCGGATAACCTTTTCTTGTTAGCCTTATCGCTAATTTCCTCACGCTCTGTCCTCTTTTCCCTGCAGCTTTGGAGCAAACGATCTTGGCGACTTTGGACATGGTACTTGGTCGGCCGGAGCGCTCCATGTCGGCCAGGGATTTACCCTCGCAATGGCGTCGCCACCATCGAAAGAGAGTAGTCCGGTTGACTCCGAACCGTTCTGCGACATCCCGCTGAGCCACGCCTGCCTCCAGTAATCCAATGGCGCGCGAGCGCACAGCTTCTCGCCGCGAGACCCGCCCGGCGACCTTCATGTCTGCGACTGACCCAGGGTCGGCCAGCGGTCGCCGCAGTCAAGGTCAGCCACGCCCCGAGGCGGCATCCGCCAATGGTCGGGGTGTGTAACAGTGTCTTCTACCCATGGCAACAGAAAGACCACCGTTATGGCATTTATATCAGCGGTAAATACGTAAACAATCCAGAAAACGGATGTTGCAAGACTTTTGGGACACCCTGTACATCGGTGGACAGCGGGGTTTCCGCGTGGTAGCTGACGGCAGTCTATACCTATGTTTTCATTGGACAGATAGATACACAATGTCAGTCGTCTGATCTCACACTCAGGATACTTTGAAGCCCGGTATACACCGGTTGTGGGGTGCAATTCACTGGACGTGAACCAGATAATTGTTATTATCGCGGGTAATAAATAGGGTGCTACAACAAAGAGCACCTGCTGAAGTGCCCCTGGCAGATGCACTTCAGTGGCAAATCCCACGGCTCTCTCCCTTCAGTATATGAGTTATGGTTTATGAAAATCATTATATCCATTATGCCTCTGCCAGTAAAGAACTACGGACTATGGCACATCCCTTTCCGCTCCGTCTCCGCTCCGTCAGATGGGACTTCGCGATAGCTCTTTCTCTCCGGTGGCTAAGTTGTATAACAGCAATTTATCTCTTCCCCTGTCAAACAGTTTGACATTTTTCTCCGCCGTCCGGCAGGTGGGGTTCGATGGTTGTAACAAACCCTCTCCTCCCCCTCCGACAGGTGGACTTTAGTAACCTGATGCTGTCCTTACCAATCTCCGACTACCCGCGGCCGTAGTTGTGACCCCCCCCCCCCCTCCGACAGGTGGACTTTGGTAATTTGGTGCTGCCGTCACCAATCTCCGACTACCCGCGGCCGCAGCGGATCGGGCGTCTGAAGCCCCTCGAGCACGGCGTCTCGTCGGGAGACATCGTCGTGGTCGACGCGCAGACGCTGCTCGTGCCTGACTTCAGCTACGACGGCACCGCGCCCGGTAAGAAATGGCACCGCGCCCGGTAAGAAGCAGCGCCGCAAACGGCAAAAGACGGGATTACACCTTGTAAAGAAAAAAATACGCATCGTTGGTACTGCGGCTGGAGGGCCGGGGACCGGACTAAAGCGGCCGGTGTTCTGGGGCGACAGCCAACACTTCGGTAAAAAATGGAGTTTTACCAAGGCCATATATAGGAATTTTACGCTTTTGTTCGATAGCATCTGCCATCTTGCATGTTTTGTTCCATTCAGTACAAACTAAACAGCAAGCAAGCCTCAAATAACTTTCTGACATTAAGTTCGTAAATAAATAGGCAAAGCCTTATTTTGGTTTGATCACTCATCGTATTGGATTAGCGGCTTTGACTGAATCGTATTTTTCACACACATTTTGGCTTGGGACTTTAAACCCATTAGGACATCCTTTTTGCCCCGCTCCGAAAACATGTCATTGTTGTGCCCCGGTCACGTACGGTAATCACTCAAAGTACTGCGGCGGGCCGCCTGCTGGGCCGTCTGCTTGGAGACTGTAATGGAGAGTGGGGCACGAACACCCGGAGAATGCGACGGGGAACACGGGGAAAACACCAAGACTCACGGGGCGCCGCCGCGCGGAAGACAGATCCCAGACACTGCGCAGTGCGCAGTAGGCCGGCGCCCCAGCGGGTGCTGAACTGCTGATCGCTATGCCTTACTGGTCCCGATGCCAACCGACAACAGGCATACCCGCTATGCCGGATGTTCTTCAATAGTAGTAACGCCGTAGCTGTTCTCAGCATGCACCACAAAATCGACTCAAATTATCTGGCCAGTCGGTCTTATCATGTGTTGACGTGAGGGCAGCTCTAAATCAATGTTTACGACTTGAAATTGCTCCGATTCATGCGAGTTACAGCACTTGTGGTGGGAATTTCCATGATTTGTTTGTAGGAACCCATGACAAGTGCTGTCCGTAGTGCTCGAAAGGCTATAATTTCTTCGGTAATTGTGCTGTCACGACTTGATATTGCGAACTTCTAAGACGGCACAGCTCAAGAGAGATTCGATTGTTCCAAATAAGGAAACTGATTACATTCGTGGTGAAACCGCTGAAGCCATTGGTGCGAGAAGGTTACATAACAGGCCACAGGGACCAGATCGGCCGGTTGGTCTCTCTCGTAATTCTCATGGTTGCATAGAAATCAGTAGTTTAATACTTTATGAAGGCAACGCCGACGAAGTCACAAAAACCATTCAGCCATGCCATGATGCCAATCGTTGACTAAACTTAACACTGTTTTGAAAATGATCTTTCCAAGAACAAATAGCGACAAGATTTTCTGAGACAAGTGTCAAGCTGCATGGATTATAACTTGTAGCTTAAATAACAATTATAAACTTTGCGTCACCGTCATAACCCCGTCCCCGTTTTTTCCATCAGACGCCCACTTCTGGGTCGGCACTGGCTCCAAGCCCTCTCCGAGTGGCCAGGTGGTGGCAGACGAGAACGGTTCAAAGGATCCTCTGCGCGCCTACAACCGCAAAACAGTGGTCATCACACTGCCCAGCGACCTCACTGTCTTCGATATCGACTACCTCAGCGTCTGGTGCGAGGACTTCTTCGCCGACTTTGGACACGTCCGCATCGACAAGTCGAGCCTCAACGTACCGCCCAGTCTCAAGATGCTCGGCGTCAAGCCGCAGGTCAGTCCCACGTCCTCGTGGGTGGGGCGGGGTCGCCGAGTCACGTGGGAGGGTCACGTGGATGGGTCAAGGTCAGGGTTGGTGCATGTGTGACACGGTTAAATGATGAGCAGGTGGGTGGGACATGGTCCTTGTAGGCTCCTGTCATATTTTGGGTGGAGAGGTGTGCGAAGGTATGTCTTTCTCCCAGCAGTCATTGGTTGTCGGGACAGTGGGTTAAAAGATGGCGAGACAGATGCATCTTGCAAGCAGTAACATCGAGTGGTTTAAATTGCAATAGCCGTAAAATATGTCTCTTACATTGTCCCTAACATTTACAAAGAAATTCAAGCGGAGACACAAATGGATGATTACGTAGAGAACGACTGGGCGTGATGAGCGTTTCAAAGGTTAGTGCCACTACAAAAGTACCGTATCATATAACATCTATTTTCACGTTTGACTGAACCAAGAGTTAATAAGGGATTTTCGGAACTTCGGCTAGCTCGTAAACCGGGCAATACCACTCATCTTTTCGCGGGAGCTATGCCCTTTTACATAACAATGCGTCTAGCGCTACTTGGCTGCAAGGGTTTTTGCATA